AGAGAGGGGATGGGGGAGGGGGGAGACGGGAGCGAGGAGAGGGAGGAGGAGAGATGATGTGGAGGTCGCGTGTGCAAGTTGCGCACGTAAGATCCCTTCGACGGCGAGCCCAGGGAAAATTCAAATTAATTTCTACCAAACTGAAAACGTTTACTGCGTCCCGTGCACTCATTTGACATTTAATATGCCGTTGCGAGGGCCGTAAAACACTCAACAAAAAACAACAAACAAAAAAAAAACCTTCAGAAGATGACTGTCTTAACCTTTACTCTTCTATTTCTCTCTAAGAAATGTTATTTTCCTTTGCGGATGCATTGGTTTTCGTCAGACACCGACAGACTAACTATAATAATTATCATTGTTTACTATTAATCTTAAAGATATTCTAAATTAATTAATTAGTTGATGAATAAATTATTAATTAATAGATTTGGTAATTTTTTGTTTACATTTTTAATGTATTTATTTATTTATTTATTTATTCATTTCTCACTAAATTCATTCATTCATTCATTCATTCATTCATTCATTCATTCATTCATTCATTCATTCATTTATTCATTCATTCATTCATTCACTTATTCACTTATTTACTTTCTTTTTCATTTATTCGTTTATTGATTGATTGATTTTGCATTACTTGTTAAAAATTAAAAATTTTTTAAAATTTCTTTTAAATGTATTTTTTTTTTCATTTATCTATTTACGTAACCGTATAGGTATGAGCGTCCAGTACCTCTGGAACACGTTGGAGCAGTCCAGGGCCTGACCCTGCCAGTCACAGACCTTGAGGAAACTGGCCACTGTCCAGCCGGTCAGCTGACTGAGGTCACGTGTCGTGAACGGACGCAGAGCGGCCTCTGATTGGTTGCTCCACTGGATCCGGCCAAGACTCACCACCTGTTGGGAAAAACAACCCAAAAAACAAACAAAACAACCAAAAAAACCCACCCAGTGTGTCAGGGGGGAGGGGGAGTGGAAACTCCTGTTGTGTGTTTTTAATTACATTTGATTTACGAAAACGACATGTGCTATCAAAAATATATAGATACATCGATCTATCAATCTATCTCTGTCTCTCTCTGTCTCTCTGTCTCTCTGTCTCTCTGTCTCTGTCTCTCTCTCTCCCACACACACACACACACACAAACACACACACACACTTACACACACACACACACA